CTTCGTTCTTGATTTCGTCCCTGACCTTGGCACTGCCGACAGCGACGCCATCGTCAACTTCACCGACTGGACACACCCTCCAGACCTTGATTCAGACTTCAGTCCAGAAGGCTTCTGGTACTCACACACCATCCCTAAAGCAGAAAGAACAAGGGCGTTAGCAACAATCCAGACAACATCGGCAGCAGTAGAGGCAACATCGGCAGTAGCAGAAACAACATCGGCAGCAGCAGAGACCTCATCGGCAGCAGCAGAGACAACATCGGGAGCAGCAGAGACAACATCGGTAGCAGCAGAACCATCAACGGCGGCAGCAGGAATGTCAACACCAGTTGCTGGTCCTTCAACGACACCACTCCTCATCGACGACACACCACCAACACCAGCGCAACAACTGCACCCAGCACCACGAGAAGTTCATCGCAGCACCAACTTCACCGCCAGCTTCTACTCCAACTCCGACATGTACCGACGATCACCCGGACATCGCGCCAACGAAAGCACCTGGCACGCACGGTTGGGACACCCAAGCAACACAGTATTAAACAATACAATAAGAGCAGGAGTACTTGACAAGGACTCACTCCTACTAACCGACGGACGAGAACTTCAACGAGCGCGAGGAACGTGCTTCACCTGCCCTGAAGGCGACTTACCGCATCGACCATTCGTGTCACATCACAACCCAAGCGCTCCCGCGTACGCACCACTCGAGAAGGTGTATAGCGATATCCTGTTCAATCGGGAACCAGGACAAGTCACATACAACTACACGATCACCTTCATCGACGCCGCCACCCGTTACGTCTGGCACCTAAACCTACCCAGCCGCGACATGGCATTCGCAGCCTTCATTGCCTGGCTACCAGTAGCAGAGAGAGAGTCGGGCGTACAACTGAAAAGCTTCCAGTCAGACGGAGGAGGAGAATACACCTCTCAGCGGTTCAAGCAGTACCTGGCGGAAAGGGGAATCAAGCAGCTCATCTCCCTTCCCTACGCCCATCAGCAGCAAGGAGTAGCAGAGAGAATGAACAGGACCCTGCAGAACACCATGCGCAAACTGCTACGTGGCATGCGGCTACCCAACCACCAATGGCCTGCAGCAATGGACCACGCTGTCATGCTGCACAATTTGTTGTCGTCGTCATCGCTTCCGAACAACGCATCACCGCATCTGCTATGGACAGGGAAACAGGGCAGCACAAAAATGTTACGAGTTTTCGGGTGCATGGTACAGTACCGACCCCAAGCAGCACGAGCGGGCCGATTTTCTCAACGAGCACAGTGGGGACTACACCTGGGCATCGAAAAGAACTACAACGCGTGGAAAATCTTCGACGTCCACTCAAAGGAAACAGTAGCAGCACGTGACGTAATTTTCTATGAACGACTCACGCTCCAGACGTACCTTGCCAACTTGCAAGAAGACGAAGACCCCACAAGTGGCCTTCGTGGTGACCGAGCCTTCGCCTCAGCAGCGGACAAAGCAGACTGGGACGAGCAGAATGTGGACAACGCATCAGAAGAAGCCGGACCTCTTCTGTTCTGCTCCGTCGACGTTTCCATGAACGAAGACAACCCTCGCGAAAGTGCCAACGCCGAAACCTTCTACCACTTCGCCGAAAACGGTTACGTAACACCTGCCACAGTCAACACCAACGAAGCAGAACGAGTAGGACCAAATTTCATACCTGATCCAGAAACGGGAGACGAAGCAGCTTATCCCGAGGATGTAAATCTTCCCCGCTACTCACAGAGTGGACTGCAGATCCTCGGGCTCGTCACCGCAGTCCACGGCTCCGTCGCTCCTAAAGAGCCTGCGACGGTTCAGCAGGCTCTAGGGGGGGCCAATGCATTCCTCTACGCACCCGTCGACGTCGAGATCTTCGTCGAGCTACCACACGGCTCCAGCACGGACTCGAAACACGTCTGTCAACTACTCAAGTCACTCTACGGCATCAAGCAAGCCCCGCGACTATGGCAACAATACCTATACGCTCGCCTCATTCGCATCGGCTTCAAGCAACTACCGCACGACCAGGGCATGTACCGGCTCTCGAAGGGTACCGACTACATCCTGCTAATCGTCTACGTAGACGACCTACTCTACATTGGCTCAACCGAAGGTATTACAACCTGGTTCGAAGGGGAGTTACAACAAGACCTCACACTCACAGTCTCACCTACCGTCACACAGTACCTCGGCCTCAACATCCGAGAAGAAGACGCTATCTACCTCAGCGCCACGAAATACGCCGACACCATCGCCAAGCGTTTCGCACTCACACCAACAGCTATCTCCACACCGTACCGCTACACGAAAGTAAACAACAAGGAAGGCTCCGCTCTACTCAAACCCGCCGGCATCCACGACTACCAGAGAAAGCTGGGCTGCCTTCTCTTCGCAGCTGTCACCTGCCGCCCAGATCTATCCTACTCCAAGCCAGCTCGCCACCTACCTCAAGAGGCCTGAAGCGGAACATCTGGCGGAGCTCGACCGCGCTCTTCACTACCTTGTCAGTACCTCGACGGTCGGACTGACTTATCATAAGAACGCAACTACAACGCCTAAGCTAATCGACTACGTCGACGCAGACCACGCAGGCGACTCCGACAACAGGCGATCACGCACCGGCTACATCTACCGTCTCGAGCCTATCGGGCCTATCTCCTGGCAATCGAGCAAGCAAGAACTAATTGCTCTCTCGTCAGCTGAAGCAGAATATATTGCACTCTGCTCAGCCACCAAGGAAGGACTCCATCTTCGCGAGCTACTGGAAGAAGCGAAGTTAGCCGAGTTACACAACTTCACCCTGTTCTGCGACAACCAGTCGGCAATTTGCATCGCCAACAAGAACGGCTTCGCGAACAGGACGAAACACATCGCCCTACGATACTTCTTCGTGAAGGACGAGATCAAGAAAGGAAGGCTTGAACTGTCATACTGCCCCACGTTCGAGATGGCAGCTGATTACCAGACCAAGAAGCTCGGAAAGCAGAAGTTCGAATATTGCATGCTGCTGACTGGACAGAGCCACGGCAGCGACACTCCAGAAGCGAAGGGGAGTGTTGGAAACAATAGTTCCTAAGCGCCTCTGTCGTGTCGAAACACTAAGGCACAAGCGAAGCAGAGCATATCGAGGCACCAGCAAGTCAACCCTCGGAGGTTGAAGTAACCGCTGGAGGTTACGCGAAAGTCAAAGGTCAGCGACCTTTGACAAATGCAGCGCGACAGCAAGGACACACAACAAACTCTTTACAGAGCAGTTGCCCGAGTCGTCACTGTATCGAACCGCAACAGCAACAGTAAAGTAGTTATAACTGTGTCTCTTCATATTCTCTGTATTCATATATAATCTTGTATCTCTTTGCTTTAATCAATTCACTTTGCCCTCACATCCTAACGCAAGGTGGTTCACAAACTCTTTATTAAGACGCTTCCGCTACTACATCAACTCTACCCAGAATTCACCTCTGCAAAGATCGTAAGGGCTTTTTCAGCCCCACAACGTTTACACATATTAATTCCATTTCCTAGGCCTGACTATTTTTTTTGGTTAACTAGTGTCTGGTAGCCTGGAATTTCTACCCATCTGGCCACGCATTGCAAGACTGCAACCAAATTTACCTCATTGTGAAACTGGCATTGGATTGGATCAGATTAGCACAACCCCATAACTGCTGGTGATTGACAATATTAGAAGAAAACGCCTCTGGACAAAAAGCCACCATAAAACAAGGTAGCAGATAGACATGCACGCCCAGCTTCACTACTTCTCCTGCTCCTCACGAAAACTGTGGCACCATGGGTTGCTTCTGCAACCCAAAGCTGCTGATGGGGAGCAGAGGGAACAGACACGACGCTGCTGCTGCTCGCGCTCAGCTATTGAGGAAGTAAGGTCGGTATAGAGGATTGCCCTAGTAAAAGTGGATGATAGAGGGGAACACGAACTTGGTTGTGACAGGGGTTGTGCCCATTGTAGTGGGGAGACATGAGTGGAAGAGGGGGAGTGGAGAAAAAGCAGTGCTCTTTTCTATTCCTCATTTCTATTGCTGCCACTGGCGCCACTGCTGCTGCTGCTGTTGCTGCTGCTCTAGTTGAGGCGCTGCTGCTGCTAATTGCGGTAGTTGAAAACGTCCCTGACAGATAGGAACAAGTCGAGCTCCTTTCACCGCTGCTGCTTCAATTGTGCTGCTGCTGCTGATGTTGCTGACTGTGGTGGTAAAGCACGTCCCTGTCAGATAACACCTCCACCGGAACAAGACGAGCCCCTGCCTGCACGGCTGCTACAGCCTCCTCTCCAAACTCCACAACTGCCGCTACATCCGTTGCTGCTGCTTCTGCTCCCAATGCTGCTGCCTCTGCTCCCAACGCTGCTGCACCTGCCTCATCCCCATCTACCATCCCACTGCTGTCTGAAGAAACTACAGCAGATGGAGCTGCAGCAGCAGCAGTGCCAGTGGCAGTGCCAGTGGCAGTGCCAGTGGCAGAAAACCCAGCAGCAGCAGCATCAGCAGAGGGTGTCAAAGCGGAACCTGAAGCTAATGGAGCAGCAAAAGGGTACTCGTTAAAGGCAGCTCCGTTAGGAGCAGCAAAGACGGGTTCGGCAGTGGCATAAGCGCCAGCGTAAGCAGGGACGAGTGAAGGCTGGGAGCCTTGGAAAGGAAACTCGAAGGAAGGTGCAGAAACACCAGTGGTGGGGGCAACATCTACTGCTGCTGCTACAGCTCCCGTTGCGGCTGCTGCTGTTGCATTGGTTCCCGCGGCATCAACTTTCTCCGCAGCTGCTACGGTGCTCCCAGCCACTACAGATCCTGCTGGCAGAGCGGCTGTAGCTGCTACAGCTGCAGCAGGTGCGTCTGCTGCTGCTGGCTTGGGTGACTGCTGCAGGCCTGTGAACCGCGCGAGGTCCACCCATTGCTGGAGGAAGGTAGAGGGGATGGGAGGGAGAAACGAGAGGGCGGGGAGAGGGATGTAGAGATGGTGAGACAGGGAACATTCATGGCTGGAGGCAGGGAGGGGACGGGAGGGAGGAAGGGAGATGGTCCGTGATCCACTGCTCCACAAATGTGCGGTGGAAAGGGAGAGAACGCAAGGGGAACGCGGATAAAACGGGGGGGAGACATGAGAGGCCGAGAGCGGGCAGGAGCGGAACATACCGAGGTGCCCCAGTAGGAGTTGGCAGTGCGGGCGAGGAACGACACAGCAGTTCCCGCCGCCGGATTGGACGCCAGGTAGTAATCCGCGATCCAGTGCTCCACAATCCCCGCAATCGCCTGGTACCGCAGATTCGCTGATGTGGACAGGAACGCGCCGTACACCAGTGCGGTTTTGAACACGGGAGATCTCGCCACTGTAGATTTTGTTACTGTAGATCCGCTGCCACTCGCGGCTGCTTCCCCTGCAGTTGCTGCTGCAGCAGTTCCCGAGCCTGCCACCACCCCTCCCACCGCCCCTGCCACTCCAGTTTCCGTTTCTGTGGTAACCTGCCCGTTGGCTGCCTGATCAATAGATTTTGCAGGCAGCTTGTTTTTCATGTCCGCCAGAAGATTAGTCAGCGACAGCGTCGCCACGCTTGAAACGAATCCGACCGAAAAGAGTTTTGTTCCCGCCACCACCACCGTTCCGATTCGCTCCGCGAGGCCAAAATTCTGCCCAGGCTCGGCCATCTGAAACGCGTTGTGGGGCAGCGTGGAAATCCACGAGGTCAGCCCGCCAAAAAGTTTTTCCCCAGCTGCCCCCCCGGCCGCCTGCGCGGCCGGACCCGCGGCATCCCGGAAGGAGAGACGCGGCGCGGGCAGCCAGACCGAAAAGAAGTTCACCACGGTGCCGCGGAGAATGTCCGCGGAAACGTATTCGAGCTCCGACCAGAATCGATCCCCGCGCTTCTGGAACTGGGCGGCGAGTGACGTGGCGATACTAATCGCCTCCTCCGTGCATAGCCGCTGCAGGAATCGCGGATCCGCGTAGAACCGCTCCCGCAATCCCTGGAACCGCTTCGTCGCCTCCGCGACCAGCGGGTTGTTCTCGAGCTCGAAAAAGGACTGGAGCGTATCGGGGGAAATCAAACCGCGCTCGATCCCGACTTGCAGGTCACGCGGGAGCGCGTCGGGGGTGCGCCCCGCGGCGCCCATCACGCGCGCGATCTCCGCGCGGTCGAAGCAGTTGCGCGTGCACGCCCAGCTGCCCGAGTACCAGAAGAAATCCGCCTCGGGGAAGTCCGACTCGAGCCGCGCGCGCTGCCGCTCGGGGTTCAGCAGCACGACGGCCTGCGACGCCGGCGACGCGCGCAGCCACTCCGCGACGCGCGACGGCACGCCGCGACCGTTGGCGCCGAATCGCACGTGCGACGCGCCGGTGAGAACGACAAGAAGCCCGATTTTCCCGCCTTCTGACATTGCCTGCGAGATCGCGCCAGCCATGGCGTGATCTTCCACCACACGCGCCTGCGCGAACCAGTACGGGCCCGGGCCGAACGGAAACGAGGCTCGGGAGGAGGTTCGGGAGACGAGAGGTTCGGCAGCGTTCGCGATGGGTTCGATTCCCAGCAGCCCGCCGTTTCCGCCGCTGATGCTGCTGATGCCGCCATTAGCTATTGCAGACGAGCCGCCCGTTGCGGCGCCGCCGAACGCGGAGCTACTAGCGGATCCGTACGAAGGGACGGCAGTGGTGCTGTCGGGCCGCAGATAAGCGGCCGAACCGCCGCCGAGCGGCGGCGCGTACTTTTTGCGGTCCGGCGGAGAAAGAGCTTGAATACCGCCCGCTTGCACTGTTCGAAGCACCTTTGGGGGCACACCGCACGCGAACAGGCGAACTCCTGCTTCACGACAGTAGCGAAGGAGTGGTGACATTTCCTGAAAGCGGCCCTTGGGCCAGTAGTTGACTGCCACCTGGAGCTCATCCTCTGGAAGCCTGCCAGAAGTAACAGCAGCGAAGTCGAAGCGGGGGCAGTTTGGAAATTGCCCTGAAGACGAAAACGACGAGGAGAGAGAGAACACGAAAGGAAAAAACGAAAAAAAAGAAAAACGCGAAAATGGCTGAACCAAACATCCATTTGCTTACCTTCCTCCGATGAATTTGTCGAGCAAAGGTTGCATGGAGCGCGGGAACGCGGAGAGCGCGAGAGTGACCGGGCGACCCGCTGCGAACGAGTCGTCGCGCAGCTTGCGCAGGATCTCGAGCGCCACTGCCTGCAAGAATGCAATCAAATCGTATCAAATTTGATCGAAACGAATTAGATCACGAAGGCGAAAACGGGAATCTGGTGAAGCATCTGGCGGGAGCGACTCTCTGTGCGGCTGGTTTGTGCGATGGAGAAGAAACGGGGAAAGAAGGGACGAGGAGGAAGGGGATGTGGGCAGGATGGAAACGGAGAAGAGATGAAGAATGAGGGGCGTGGGGCTGCGGCTGTTGGTGCAAATGGTGCGACTGACGCGAGTGAGGCATCTTTGGAAATAACGCACTAAAAAAAGGCACGGCAAGACAGCGGCACGCACAAACAAGTGGTTACTAACAGAACACTGCTACCAGCGGCATCACAGCGGCACCGCTTTCGCACCTTGTCCGTGGGATCGCGAACGACCTCTGCTTCGCCAAGGTAAACAACCTTCGCCGCCAGCAGCCTCTCCCACGCCTTCGTCTTATCCCCGACAAGAGCCGGCTCGCCAACCGTTGTAGCGTCATACACGCGCGATTTACTCACTGCTGGTCCGCTCTTACCCAATAACCCCCCCTCTCCGTCCACACCTCCTGCCGCGTCGCCTAAGAACCACATCGGCTGCTTCTTAGGAGGCTCTACGGTCTTAGCTAAAGCCGCATCGACTAATCCTAGCTCCGCGGCTCCCGTCGCAGCGAGCGTCGCAAGACCGAGCCCTAGAAGCGTGCGACGGTCCATTTTGGGCGACGAAAGCTTCGCAACGGCTTCGGTGCGAGGAGGAGTAACTGCCAAGGGGGCGGCGCTAGCCGAATCTACTGCGCTTGACGAAGGGGTTACGGCACGGGTACAGTCAATAGCCGCCGCATCAGACGCATCATACGCAACACGCGCATCCCGCTGGACTGCAGATGCTGTGGCGCATCGGGAACTAGAGGCGGACGAAGAGGATCGCTCGACTGACGCCGTAACGCTAGGCCGCTTTTCCGCGAGGAACGGATTAGCTCTGACCAGGCTGCGCCGCTGATAGCTGCTTAGAACGGTGCTGTTCTTATTGCGAGCCGCGCAGCGATCTAACGGCGGAAGTGGCGCTGGTGTGAACGGCCGAGGAGATCCCGAGACTCCGGAAAATGCGGGTGAGATTCCGGAGACTCCGGAGAAGAATCCGTAGGCCGCGGAGGACATGGCGTCAGGTGCAGGGGAAGACAGCGATCGAGGGAGCGGAGCGACGGCGGGGGAGGATACCGATCGGGGGAACGCCGCGATTCCGGGAGCCTGCGTGAGGCGCGGGCTCCGCTGGGGATTCGCCGATGACCGATGACGCTGAGACGCGCGTTTCTCGAGGGACGGAATCAAGGAGTTGCTAGAGGGGACCAGGCCGTGTGGGGTTGACTGACGTCGCAGAAGCAGGGTGCGAGTGTTATCCATGCTGCCACTGCAGGGTGGAGCTATTTGGACCTGTTAAAAACTGTTTTAGTGCAAAGTCGCGGAAATGCGGGAAGCAGCAGGGAGATGAGGGAAGAAGCAGAATCTGCGTAAAGGATGACGCTGGAGCAGCTGCCACTACAGGCCTCTGTGGCACTGCTCAAACAATTAGACCTCTAATTGAATTCAGTATTTGCAACGGGGTTCCTACTAAAAAGCCCACTGCTCCGCACTCCCTACAGCAACTTGTCACAGCCGCAAACTTCTGGAGGAATCACAACGGGGGAACCCGAACTGATGAAGCGGTACGTCATGGCCATGGATGAAACCTGGTTGAGCGTATCGAGGCAAATTTCAAGAACAGGGGAGGACGAGATGGGCAAGGGCAGATTAGAGCGGTGGGCAGATTAGTGGAGCGAGTAGGGCAGATTCGAATGGCGGCAATGGGCAGGCTCGGGCAGGGGAGGTTGGGCGGAGAGGGGCGGCGTGACATGGGCGAACAGAATGCGAAAGGTGTTGCTGGAAGTCACCAATTGGCGAGTTTCGCTGGAGTGCGGTGTTTTTGTTCGCATGTGCGCTGTATCCTGTTTTTGTTTTGTGCGTGATTAGACTGACTTGCAGAAAGGGCAGAAGACAAAAGTTATGCGAGGCCCAACGAGTTTGTGGTGCTCATGGCGGCACGACAGATTCACCGAATGGTCTGGAACACTCCTCGTGAATGGAGCCGCGTTATGCTTGGAGGGGGCGAGGTCCAGGGAGATCCCAAGATGCTCCCCCCTAGAAAAGATTCCGTATCCCCATTGGTCGAACGGAATTTGCTTGTCGGCGTGGCGCAAGGAGCAACACATGTAAAATTCTCGCTAGCGCGACGTGCGGAGGAGCTGCCAGCGCACGAGTAAGATATGGACTTGAGGAACCTGTGAACGGAGCGCGTGTTCACGGAGTGGGGGCTCGTGCTGGCAAAACGAGAAATATCACATCGCCGCATTTCCCTGCACCATGGAAAGTCTTTCGCGCGTGAGATTGCACGACCTTACACGACCTGGGAGATCTTCTTATCCGTTCGCACAGTCAGTAACTGCGAGTTGAGAGCATCTTTATGCGACGCTTTTCCGTCGCACTGGCGCTAATCTATCGCCCAGTCATAATGACACATCCTCGTCGTCTGTGCAAAGATTCGTGTCCTCGTGTGCTTGTTTGTAACAGTGCTCAACGAATGACGGGATGAACGCTCCACATTATTCTGGATATTGTACACCATTCTTAATCCCGACTTAAACACCTAACTTTTGATACATGTTCTCCACAGAGTTTTGCTTGTGAGCACCAAGAGATGACAGAACTTAATCAAATACGATATTTTAGTCATCCATAAGCAATTAGCTTGGAAGAAATTTGAGCAGCCGATGCAATATATTTAACATGCTCGAGATTGGCTTGGCACATGTACCGTATCACAAACAATATAAAAAATCTAGCTCACTGTGGCATGACAACAAAAGCACCTTCTGTGCTGCTTTCACACTCCTGTCCTCCCTCTTGACACAAATCCACATCCTCTAATGACCATAACTGCACTACAAGGCGTCTTCCGCGCGCACGAGACCGCGGCCAAAGTAGAGAGCGACAACACCAAAGCCGTCGCGGGCGTCATGCAGCTCCTGGAAGAAGCGGTCGTGGTCCGCCGCACTCTGCCTCAGCCCCACCCGCATCTCCCTCACCACCCGGTATGATGCCGCACACTTGGGGCACTCCATCCCTCCCTCCCCTCCCTCCCCTCCCTCCCCTCCCTCTCCTTCCTCTCCTCCCTCTCCTACATCTCCCATCCCTCCTCCATACCCCCCCGCTCTTCCCCCGCCGTACCCTCCCCCTCCCATGCCTCCTCCCATCACCCCTCCGCCCCCACTCACCCCCCCCACGTCACCTGCCATTGAGGCAGCAGCCGCGGCTGTAGCGGCGGCTACTGCCGTGGTTGGGTCGGCAAGGCAGCGCAGGTGGAACGCATGCAGACAAAAGAAGTGGACGGCGGGGAGGTCGAGTGGCGAGTTGCACTCGGCACAGCGGGAGGACTGGAAGACGAGAGGTTCGGTCAGGAGCTGGTGCAGATCTTTCCTGTACTTGTCAGTCTCGTGCTGTTGGGGGGAATGAATGCAAGACACAGCGGGGAGATGGGAACATTAGTGGTGTCGAGCGGTGGTTGCACTCGAAACATCGGGAGGGCTGGAAGACGAGAGGCCCAGTCAGGATTTGGTGGAGTTCGTTCCTGTACTTGCCAGTCTCGTGCTGTTGGGGCGTGCAGGGGTGTTGGTAAGACAGGAGGGACGGAAAGAGAGGGAAGAGTCACTAGGGTCGGGCGGTGAATTGCACTCGGCACATCGGGAGGACTGGAAAACAAGTGGCTCGTAGTATCTAAATCCTGCCACCCGTCCCCACCCGTCCTGCGACACGTGCTAACCTCCATCCATTCCTCTGTATCCATCCCCTGCTACCATCCATCCCCACCTACTGGCACCCCTGCCCACCTGGTATTTCTCAATCGCCCGCCTGTCCTCCTCAATAATGGCTGTCTCCTGCTGCAAGTGCCGCGACACATAGTCCCGTATCTCCCCCACCGTGATGTGCGGGCTGCGCGAGAGAGTCTGCATGGGGCAAGCCAAGGAGGGCAGAGGAACAAGAGGGAGAGGGAGGAGAAGGGAGGGAGAGGGAGGAGAAGGGAGGGAGAGGGAGCAGAGAGGGTGCATGTGAGAGTGCCGCGACACATAGTCCCGAATTTCCCCCACCGTGATGTGTGGGTTGCGCGAAAGAGTCTGGTGTGAGGAGGGAGGGAGACAAAGAGCAGGAGGGAGAGCGAGAGCAGGAGGGAGACTGGTTGCATATGTACGTGTCCTGTCACATAGTCGTGTCAATTTTCATAAACATCACAAGCAGCTCACATGCAGCACCAGCAGAGGCGGCAGCAGGTTACCCCTCTCCACCGCACTTAACACCTCCTCCCCCCTCGCCTCCCCCCGTTCCCCCAGGTACCTAACAACATCCGCCCACACACTCGGATCTTCCCCCCTCCCCGCATCCCCCAGTCGCTTGCACGCAGCAATGAGCTCACCTGCAGCACCAGCAGCGGCGGCAGCAGGTTACCCCTCTCCACCGCACTCAACACCTCCGCCACCTCCTCCCCGCACGCCTCCCCCCGTTCCCCCAGGTACCTCACAACGTCCGCCCACACACTCGGATCTCCCCCCCTCCCCGCATCCCCCAGCCGCTTGCACGCAGCAATGAGCCCCTTGCTGTCGCCCTCCCGCATGTGCATCGCCAGGGCCTCCTTGAAGAGCCGCATTCTCTCGTACAGGAAGAGGAGGCCATCCCTGAAACCATGTACCTGGGAAGGGGAGGGAGAAACGAGTGGGGAAGCGAGGGGACTTTTGAGTCGACTCAAAAGTCACCTCGTTACTATGGCCGTCCCTGAAGCCATGCACCTGGGAAGGGGGAGGTGATAGAATTGGAACTGAACTGATTGATTAGGAAAGAAGGCACTAGGCCTTAAGTACAAACGAGGTTGGGATGGGCAAGGCGAGGGAAAAGATGGGATGGGAATCCTAGCAAATCTCCAATTGGTGAGTTGGCAGATTTGCAGGATTACGAGAGAATCCCAACCAGATAGGGTTGGGATCACAAACTACACCCAACCTGCAAATAACCTACGCGATATAGAATATAGTACACAAAGTTTTGATAGCCTAATTCTAACAGGAGGGAGAAACGAGCAGGGAAGCGAGGGAGCGGGTGAGGGAGGAAACAGGGGAGGAGAGGAGTGGGAAGGCGAAGGAGGGAACAAGGGGGATGCGGTTAGAAAATCTTGCATCCAACACATAAATGCAATACTGGAATCAGTATTGAGAATTCCACGTGGAAAAATTCGAAAGAGAGGAGACGAGTTTGCAAACACTGAATGTAACACACAAAAGAATGAACTCACTCACCTGACACGTCAGCAGTGCCAGGTCAGCGTCGTAACGAGGAGCCGACTGCTGCTGCCAATAGGCTCGCAGCAACGCCCCTGCCTTCGCCAAGCAAGCTGCCCGATCATTACCCTCTCCACTCCTAGGTGAGACGATAACTCCCCTTTCACCAACCCCCTCCCCCCCGCTCGCTCCTGTTCCTCCTCTTCCAGCAGAAGCAGCAGCGGCAGCAGAAGCAGGAGGAGAAGTGAGTGAGGTGGGAGAAGGGGGGATGAAAGAGGAGTTGGTTGCAGCACTGCTGCTGTTGCTGCTGCTGCTGGCTGCTTCTCTCTCTTTTTGCTGCCCGAGAAGCATCCTTCGTTCTGCCCACCGCACGGGATCCGTCCGGGCAGAATCACCTGAAAGAAACGAGCTGCCCGTGCTATCACTGCAAGCAGGACCAGCAGCACCGGCACCGGCGGCAGCAGCTTTTAGAACTGACTCAAAGCTTGGAAGCTCAGAATCAGACGAAGAGGAAACATAATCTGACGGGAGGGAGGAGGAGGAGGAGGAGGAGGATGGGAGGGAGGCTGAGGTCTCATAGCAAAGGTATAACTCAAGGAGCGAATTAAGGACGTCTTTATGCCACGGGGAGTCTATAACCCTGTCTACATAGGCCTCTAGGAACTTCATCAGGCATCGTGGTTGGTCGACAAAGACCGGGGCTAATTCCATTGGTGACAGGTATTTCTGCTGCTGCCCGAGATCCGAGATGCGAATTTTCGTGCCGGAGCTGCTGCTGCTGCCCGAACTGTTCGGGCTTCCCATGAGCCTGCCCGAGCCGGAAACGAGTGACTTTCGAAAGCTGGAAGAACGAGGGGGGATGGTAACTGGGGCAACTGCTGCTGCTCCTCCTCTTGGTGTTGCTGCTGCTGCTCCTGTGCCTGCAGCTCCATCAGCAGCAGCAGCACCTGAAGAAGCACCTGAAGAAGCACCAGGGCTGGGGCGAGGAGAGGCAGACTCTCTGTTATCCCTAAACCGAGAGGGGCCTGCTCCAGTTCCCCCTGATCCTTCCCCACCTGTTAAGCCAGTACCGATTCCCATCCCCCCTCTGTCTCTGCTGCTCCCGAATCCCGTGCAGAGCTCTAAGAACAAAGAAATCGTTTCCTCGGGCAGGTGAGCCGCCAGCACCGGCCCGTATTCCCGGGCAGCCGAAACAATTTTCGCCCGGTCAGGAAGGGCGGAAATGAAGGCCAGCGCGTCAGCATAGCGGTGTAGATCCTCCACCAGGATTTTTAGGTAAGCGGAATGCTTAGCGGCGCGCTGAGCTACGAAAAGAGCCTGGCTGTAATACCCGGCGGAACAGCAGACTTGGATCACCGTGTCGGGATCGTATGGGAGGGTGGGAGAGGAGGAGGAGTGAGGGAGTGAGAGGGAGAGGGAGAGGGGGAGAGTGGAGGCAGAGGAAGGTGTGGGCCTGTCTGTGGTTGCTGGTTCGATGGAGTGGGTATCGGAGGAAGGGGAATCGAAGCCCGCCCGGACGAAGGCATCCAGTTTAGAGACGTCCTGGTAAGCGGGTATGGGAGAGCGGTGCATGTGGGTGTGGAGGGATGGGCAGGAGTGCAGCATGAGACTGGTTGTGGTTGCTGGTTCAATGGAGTGGGTATTGGAGGAGGGAGCATCAATGCCCGCCCAAACGAAGGCATCCAGTTTGGAGACGTCCTGGTGGGCGGGAAAGAGAGAACGGTGCACATGGGTTTGGAGGGATGGGATGCGCAGTGGCTCAGTACGGGAGAGAGTAGCAGTGTTTTGAGTCACATGGGTTTGGAGGGATGGGATGCGCAGTGGCTCAGTACGGGAGAGAGTAGCAGTGTTTTGAGTCGACTCAAAACACAGGGGCTCAGTACGAGCCTCTCTAACCCTCTCTAGCCTAGCACGTTCCACTCACCTTGAGGCACGGGAAGCAGTTGATAAGCATGGTGGTGTGGTCGGTGTGGCCACCCCCTTATCATACAGCCGCTCCAGGTAACGGGCCAGTAGGAGCCTCTCTAGCCTAGCACATTCTACTCACCTTGAGGCGCGAGAAGCAGTTGATGAGCAGAGTGGTGTGGTCCGGCGTAGCAACGCCCTTATCGTGCAGCCGCTCCAAGTACCGAGCGAGCAGGGCGAGCCTCTCTAGCCGAGCACATTCCACTCACCTTGAGGCGGGAGAAGCAGTTGATAAGCAGGGTGGTGTGGTCCGGAGTGGCCACGCCCTTATCGTGCAGCCGCTCCAAGTACCGAGCGAGCAGGCTCAAGCGCTGGGCGTGCAGGTAGCGGGCGAGCCCAACCCTCTCTAACCCTCCAACCCTCTCTAACCCTCCAACCCTCTCTAACCCTCCAACCCTCTCTAACCCTCCAACCCTCTCTAACCCTCCAACCCTCTCTAACCCTCCAACCCTCTCTAACCCTCTCTAACCCAGCACACTCTACTCACCTTGAGGCGCGAGAAGCAATTAATCAGGAGAGTGGTGTGATCCGGCGTGGCCACCCCCTTATCATGCAGCCGCTCCAGGTACCGCGCGAGCAGACTCAAGCGCTGTGCGTGCAGGTAGCGCTGAATCACGTATGACGGCTCCACCTGGCCAATGGTCCTCTCGTACTGCCCCATTGCCTCCTCATAGTCCTGTCAGTGCCAGGGAGACGAGGGGGTTACCATGTGAGTAGAGGTACCAGGCGAGCAGGGCGAGCAGGGAGAGCAGCTGGGCGTGCAGGTAGCGCTGAATCACGTATGACAGCTCCACCTGGCCAATGGTTCGCTCGTACTGTCCCATTGCTTCCTCATAGTCCTGTGGTGAGGGGAGGGCGAGGGCAGGGCGAGGGCAGGGCGAGGGCGAGGGGATAATGTGCAGGGCCAGCCGCTGGGCGTGCAGGTATGAATCACTCCTGACGGCTCCACCTGCCCGATGGTGCGCTCGTACTGCCCCATCGTCTCCTCATAGTTCAGAGTTCTGCCGTGCAGAGACAGGGAGAGGACAAGATACAAGTTGGGAGGATTCGAGCCAATGATAGGTCACCAAATCCCACTTGCTTGGTGTACAGATGGCCCCCGAAGCGCCTCAAAACTCCAGCCGTGGCAGCAGCATCCCCTCCCTGCGACACAACAAGTTCCAGCGCACTCGAATAGAGCCCCTTTCGGAACAGAGCCTCTACAACCATTTCACACCCAGTCACACCTAAATCTTCCCCACCCGCTTGGCATACAGCTGATCAGACCACGCCTCTTGCAAAAGAGCGCCTCCAGCTTCCATGCCATGTCCCTCTCCACCACCAGCAGCTGCTGCTGCTTTGCATACAGGACTTAACACAACAGAGCCCCACCACCCACACCCGTTTCTCACCTGCTTGGCATACAGATGATCCCAGTATCGTCTCACCTGCTTGGCATACAGATGATCCCAGTATCGTCTCACCTGCTTGGCATACAGATGATCCCCGTATCGTCTCAGAACCTCAGCCGTGGCAGCAGCATCCCCCCCTTGGGACACCACCAGGTCGAGAGCACTGGAGTAGAGCCCCTTGCGAAACAGTGCTTCCAGCTTCCAAGACATGTCCCTCTCCACCACCAGCAACCCCCTCGCCTCCACTCGCACTGTCCCTCCCCCTCCCGTTGCTCCTCCTCCTCCTGTTGCTCCTCCTCCTGCCCCTCCCCCTCCTCCGCCTCCTCCTCCTCCTGCTGAGACCCCTCCTGCATCTCCTCCCCCTCCCGCGCCATCGCCTCGCCTGTGCAGGGAGAGGAGCACCACGGCGCCTCCCTCGCACAGCAGCAGCAGGGGCGCGAGGAGAGAGGCGGCGGGGGTGAGCGGCGCAGAGTGGACCACCAGCTTGTTGCGCGTGTCATACACTGATAGGACCATCTTCTGCTGCTGATGATGTTGCTGCTGCTGGTGGTGCTGCTGCTTTCCAGAATCCCCACCGCCGCCACCACCGCCGCTGCCACTGCTGCCGCCACCACCAGCGGTTGTTGCCGGGCCACCAGCAGCAGCAGAGGCAGCAGCAGTAGGAGGAGGGGAGGGCGGCGAGTGCAGGCAGAGCAGGTAGCCTCGCAGGCAGGCGAGGCGGTGCTTGGGGCCGTCCAGCCCAAAGCACGCCCCCGGGCCATCCTCATTGAAACAGTAGAAGGCTTCTGGGCGCGCCACCACCAGATCCTGATGGGTAAGGGGGAGAGAGAGAGGCGCATGAGAGAAGGATCAGAAGCAGCAGCAGCAGCAGAGGCAGCAGCAGTCGAGGCAGCAGCTGCAGTGGCAGTGGTAGCAGTGGGAGCAGGGGAGGGTGGCGAGTGCAGGCAGAGCAGGTAGCCCCGCAGGCAGGCGAGGCGGTGCTTGGGGCCGTCCAGCCCAAAGCATGCCCCCGGGCCATCCTCATTGAACCAGTAGAAGGGGCTGTGCCACCACCAGATCCTGATGGGTAAGGGGGAGAGAGAGAGGGAGAGGATGAACGAGGCAAAGAGAGGGAGAAGAGGCAGTACAAAGGAAGGGATAGAGTTTCCATAGCAGGTCCCCGGGCCATCCTCGTTGAAACAGTAGAAGGCCGAGAGAGAGGGCGAGGAGATGCAAGGGAGAGAGGAGAGGGCAGGAACAGAGAGCACTCTCACCCACCCTCACTCACCCTCACTCACCCTCACTCACCCTCACTCACCCTCACTCACCCTCACTCACCCTCACTCACCCTAACTCACCCTCACTCACTCTCAAAGCGCTCACCTGGGTATCAGTCATGGCAGAGCAGAACACATCCCCTCCTCTCTCCTCCAGCACTACCCCCCACCCTCCTCCCCCTCCCCCTCCTCCTCCACCTCCCTTCCCCGCCCATCCTCCCTCCGCTGCAGCCCCAAACATGCCACTGGGTAGCGTGTACAGTGTGACTGTCTCGCCCGTGACTATAAAGAGCTGCGGGCCTGAGTCCAGGATCCGGAACCCCAGCCCTGTGACTGCAACGGGGGGGAGAGCTCTGGCAGTTGAAGGCAAAACAGAAGCAGAGGCAGAGGTAGAAGGGGAGGAGTGTGAGGAGGATGACGAGTGCTCGCTCCTCCCTCTTGCTCCTGCTCCGGCTCCTCCTGCTGCTATACCTCCTCTCCCTTCCCCAACACCTAGCGCATCTCCACCCCCTCCCCCTCCCCCTCCGCCTTCCCCCGCACCCTCTCTCCCCCCTGCTCCCCCCACTCCGCCCGCTCCCCCTGCCCCGCCTTGCCCCTGGCTGCTGTTGGGGGGGATTCTCAGCCGTTTGATCCGCATGGAGGAATCTGCGAGCAGCACATCAACGGCTCCTGTGGCCAATCCAACGGCCAGGAGGTAGCCTAGCTGAGGAGCCTCGCGGATTGCACAGGTTGTGATCTGGGGAGCAGAGCGAGGGGAAAAAAGGAGGAGGGGGGAGGGAGGGGGACAGGGGAGAGGAGAGGAAGAAGGGCAAATGGGTCTGAGAGATGGGAGTCACTCGATTTGCTCTGCATGGAGGAATAAGCTAGCAGCACATCAACGGCTCCTGTGGCCAATCCAACGGCCAGGAGGTAGCCCAGCTGAGGAGCCTCGTGGATTGCACAGGATGTGATGTGCATGCATGAGGAACGAACGGGGGGGAAGTCCTTTAACCACCCAACCCACGTCGCCCCTCTTTTAGCCCATACCCTTCCTACCCTGGGAAACGAATTAACCAGTGCCACCCACGTATAAGGGTGGGTACATCTTTGCGATCTGTAGTTAATCCAATGGTCAGGATGGATTGTCTGTGATTGGACACAGGCTGCTGGTGGTTCTGCCCAAGTATTTACTCGCTTAGTCAATCACTCACTCGCTCACTCACTCTCACACGCATGCACTCGCTCACACGGTGACTCATGCATTCACACTCACTCACACACGCATTCACTTACTCACCCGCTCACACACTCACATTCACTCGCTCGTTCCCACACACACACGACATGGTCACCCACAACCAATCTACAACATCACCTGTGCGGCAGGAAAAGCGTCGGAGAAGATGTTATAAGTCCGTAAAGGCGCCGGTGCCTCTCACTTCTCTACCTTTTGCGCGCGCAAGCACACACATATGCACTCACTCACTCCAGCACTCACTCACTCCAGCACTCACTCACCTGTGCAGCAGGAAAGGCGTCTGAGAAGATGTTATACGTCCGTAAAGGCACCGGGGCACCCCCCTCCAGTGCTACTGCTGCGCCTGAAGCACCTGAAGAAGCACCGGCACCCGCAACAGCAGGAGCAGCAGTCTTGTCCAAATCCCACAGCACCACAGCTGCTCCCCTTGCCTCCTTGCCCACTGTCAACAGACAGCTACGTTGCTGAGAGTAGGGGAAGGGGGGAGGGTGAAGGGGGAGCGGGAAGGGGGCCTTTGAGAGCAGGAGCAGCAGTCTTGTCGACGTCCCACAGCAACGCTGCTGCTCCTTTTGCCTCCTTGCCCACGGTTGACAGACAGCTGCGTTGCTGGAGAGAAGGGTGTGTGGAAAGGGGATGGGGGCCAAGGAGGGTTTTGAGAGGAGCAGCAGCAGCAGCAGCAGTCTTGCCAAGGTACCACAGGCATAGCACAGCATCACTGCTGCTCCCCTAGCCTCTTTCCCCACTATCAGCCGACAGCTCCGGTGCTGCAAGTTGAGGGGTGAGGGGACGAGCGTGGGGGGAGGAAGGGGATAAAAATGAGAATAAGATTGTAGCATAAGGTGGATGTCAGGATGATACCTGAAGTGAATTTCAGGATGCTACTTCAAATGGATGTCGGGATGACCTGAAATGGATTTCGGGATTTTACCTGAAATGAATTTCGGAAAAGTACCTGATGTGGATGTCAAGTCAAGTGGGTGGGGGAACACATCATAAATAGTCAGCGTGTAGTGAGTCGAGTTTTGAGTCGACTCAAAACTCGAATCTCGGAAAAGTACCTGATGTGGATGTCTTTTAAGTGGGGGAACACATCATGAATAGTCAGCAGTTAATGAACGCGCCCCAGTACTGGTCTTAAACACGTCTACTAGCGTTTCGGACGTATTGAAAAGCTGCCGTTACACTAAGCTGCGTCCCTGTCGCACCTTGAACAGGTGTAGAAACGCCACGGGACCTTCATGAGCCACGAAGCTTCGCCGAACATGCAGCGACCGATCTAGCAGCAGAACCGAGCCGCTCTCCGTGCCAACGGCTAGTCGGCCTCGGCCTCCCGCACCGCACCGCACGCCCTGCGCGAGCGCGTCGGCTAGCGGCCCGACGGGCGAGCGGTCCTCGAAGAACTGGAAGCGACGCCACTGATTCATAGCTACCAGAGTGGACGGATTGACGATAAGACTGGGTTAGAATGGGTTTGAATTGACGAGCGAACGGTAGTCGAAGAACTTTAAGCGACGCCGCTGATTCTTGACGACCAGACTGGTTTGAATGGCGATCAGACCGGCCCGGTCTGCTTCAAGTTACTGCGCCAGTGGTCCTATTTCAGGCTGAAACCTTTCTGAGAATGAATGTCAGTCGGAGAATCGAAGGTTCAAACCGTTGACCAATTAGCGTCGGAGGTGCACTAGCCAGCGCACGAATGTGCGTTTCGGAATCGTCCGTGAATGCCTAGGTGACTAGGTCCGTATCACCGCCATTACGACTGACGTTTCCAAAACTGCTTTTTGAATCCCATCGCCAAGTCTTGCACAATGTAAGGAAAATTCCTTTTCCTTACTTCGCATCCCCGCTCAACGCGTACATCACTGTAGCACCTCAGTCAGCACCGTTACCACCCGCATCAATAATCCGCCCGCCATTTTTCGCATGTCGTACCCCGACCTCACGGCTCGGCGGTAACCCGCGCTCCGGACCACCGCCTTGACACTTTTCCCAACCTCAGTCCCAGGCCCGTCGCGCGACAACCACAGTCCATTACCGTTACCACTGTAGTTTCGCTATATAATCCTTCGCTCATGCCTTCGCTCATTGTACCTTTGCTTCGATAGTGCAATCTTCGTTCGCTCACTCCATTGCACCCGTAACACTTGGTATTCAGAGCCTACGATCTCTTCTCGGACCGCATTCACACCTTCGTTTCCCCACTATCTCAATTTTTTGGGGGGGGTAGACGTCTCTCAGCGATCAAGCACCGCCGCTCGTAGTGCTCTCTCGTAAACACGCACGGCCACGACAGAGGCTCTCGCTGCACTTGACCGACACCCCCGCCATGGCTGAATTTACGCTCGCGACGTTGACGCAAGAGCAGCTTGACCGTCTGATCCGTCAAGTTGAAGATTCAGCACTCGAGATTGCGACGCTCACGGCAGAACGTGACTCCGCGCGTCAGCAATCTGCGGCGAATGCTCCAGCGTCACAAAATGCACCTGCACAGTCAGACGAGCCGATTGTCATCTCGTCCGGCACACCAACACAGCACGACAGCGTGGGACAGCGCTCAGGCGCAGCCAGTGACAGCGCCGCCCAGCCAATGCCTGGTATGGGAGGAAACCGGGCCGCACCAAGCCCACGGGAGCCTCGTGAAGCCCGTCGGCACGTGGAGTTTGCGGCAACAAGTGGCGACCAGGCAATCATGGCGCCGATGCCACTCAAGCCGCAGCGCCCGTCCTGTTTCGACCCGAGCCAGCGTGGTGGTCCGACGGTTCAGTCGTGGATCTTCACGATGAACGTGTTTTTTGACGCCAACTACGTCGAGTCGGACGCAGCGAAGATACGATACGCCGTCTCGCTGTTGAGGGGCCCCGCTATGGACTGGTGGCGAGTCATCGTGACGTCGCCACGCGCCTACGAGCCACCGTCGCAAGAGGAAGGGCCCGCGGGCCCAGCAGTCAACTGGATTTCATTCTGCGAAACCGCCCAATACAGCACGTGGGATGCGTGGTGCGTAGGGCTTCGGGCGCGCTTCGAGCCGATCGCGGCTTCTATTTCGGCGCGTCAGAAACTGCGCACTTGGCAGCAGCTCGGGTCGGTTCAAGACTACACGAGTGGTTTTCTCGCATTATGCGAGCAGGTCGGCTACATGCACGAAGCGGAGCGGGTGGACCGTTACGTCGGAGGGCTAAAGCCGGAAATCTCGCAGGAAATAATGCTACGCTGACTCTCGAATTTCAACGAGATTCTCGCGATCGCCGAGAAAATCGACATTTTGCGCCGTCCGAGACCGGGGTCCTACTACGGACATCGTCCTCGAGGACCGATCGAGCACGCCACCGTGTACGCCGTTGCGACGAATGCAGCTGCCGCACCATTCAAGGGGCGCTGCTTTGCTTGCAACAGGCCGGGCCATCGTAAAAGTGAGTGTCCAGAGGAGCTAAGGCGCCGCGGAGCAGAGCAAGGGAGGGAGTCTCAGAGGCAGGGAAACGCCAGCAGTCAGTAGAAATTGGGCCGACTACTGACGAGACTGCCTGCTCGCCCAACCACACCGACCCTCACCGAGTCACAGTACCGATCCACGCTATCGATCGGGCTCGGATGAATAAGGAGGGTACAGCGACGGATTGCCCAGTACTGATCCACGGGAAAATACAGGGAGCAGCAGTCAAGATTTTTATCGACGGAGGAGCTAGTTACAGTTTAGTTAATACCACGACCGCACGGAAACTTCAACTGACACTTAGCCGGTGCTTACCTGAGATTGATGCACACTTAGTCGACGGCACGCCGCTGGCCATACGGGAGAAGGTGGAGAGAGTAAAAGTTCGCTGCGGAGGGAACTTCGGGTTTACACAAGAAATGCTCGCGACGACACTGGATGGGCACGACATTTTACTAGGACGTGATTGGTTGCGATGTTACAACCCGAGAATCGACTGGACGACAGGCAGCTGCACTGTGCGAAGTAGTGGTAACTGGGTCGAACTACCACGCTGGCAGTCGCATGAATCGTCGACGGTCCACGTCAACGCCATAACAATGAAACGGGCAGTCGCCGCTGGAGCTGACGTGTATGCAGTGGACATCGCAGTGGTAGGAGAAGCTGAGTAGCCGAGTGATTTTCAGAAACTGCTGACAGCGGTACCGCCTGAACTACAGGAGCTATTGAAACGGTACCCGGGGATTTTCCCCAACGACTTACCGGAAGGACTGCCACCTCAGCGGGCGCACGACCATAGGATAGAGTTAGAGCCGGGGGCACAGCCAACTGTACAGCGCCAGTTCAGACTGACACAGCCGGAGCTCGACGAACTGAGGAAGCAGTTAGATTACCTGTTAGCGAAGCAGTTTATCCGACCGAGTTCGTCCCCGTTCGCCGCACCGATACTATTCACACCAAAAAAAGATGGAGGGTTTCGCATGTGCATCGATTACCGAGCGCTCAACAGGGTTACAGTGAAGTCACGATACCCCATTCCCCGCGCCGACGAACTGATCGACCAGCTGCGAACAGCACGGGTGTTCTCGAAGATAGATTTACGGGGAGGTTACCACCAGATTAGAGTCGAACCATCGGACTGCGCCAAGACAGCTTTTAGGACTAGGTACGGGTCGTTCGAGTATACCGTGATGCCTTTCGGGCTAACCAACGCACCTGCAACATTCCAGATGACCATGAACGAGGCGTTTAGACCACTTTTAGATAAGTGTGTGATAGTCTACCTCGACGACATTCTCGTCTACAGCCGCGATAAGCAGCAGCATTTAGCGGACCAGGAAGCAGTGTTTAAAATTTTAGAGGAGCATCGGTTATTGACCAAGGGGTCTAAGTGCGAGTTCTTTCAGGATAGGTTAGAATTTTTGGGGCACGTTATTTCGGAGGCTGGGGTTGAGATTGACTCGAAGAAGCTGGATACGGTCAAAGCTTGGCACCCCCCGACAAACATCACGGAGCTGCAGAGTTTTTTGGGTTTTGTTAATTACGTCCGTCGGTTCGTCCCCAACATGGCACGCTTAACTGCCCCACTGACGGATCTGCTGCGGAAGGGGGTCGTTTTTACGTGGGGGGAGAACGAGCATGCTGCCTTCTCTACCCTGAAAAATGTTCTCTGTTCACCGCCTGTCCTGCGCATTGCCGACCCACACCGCCCATTCGAAGTCATTACTGACGCAAGCGACATCGCCATCGGAGCCGTACTGCTACAGGATTTCGGGAACGGCCTACAGCCCATCGCATACGAATCACGAAAGCTGCACCCACCTGAGAAAAATTACCCGATACACGATCGCGAAATGCTTGCGATCGTGCATGCGTTCAAAGTGTGGCGCTGTTACTTGACCGGCGCAGACGTGACAGTACGGACAGACCACCGATCACTACAGTATCTCCGTGCACAACCCCACCTCAACCGACGACAGATCCGCTGGCTCGATTTTCTAGAGTCGAATTTCCATTACACGGTCACCTACAAAAAGGGAGCTTCCAACATTGCCGACGCACTGACCCGCCCCACTGCCCAAATCCACGCAATACTACTCGCCCAGACTAGCCCACTACTGACAGGACTATTTACCCACGGATATCAAACAGACCCATTCTTCACCGGAGGCAATTCGCAGCAGTTCGCAGCAGCACGAGGGGTCTATTACGTAAAAGCCGGGACCGACCGCATTTGGGTACCCGGGTATACACTACTACGGGAATTACTGTTACAGGAGGCACACGACGGAGTTACCTCGGGACATTTTGGGGTAGAAAAAACACGGCAGCAGCTGCAGCGGTATTATTACTGGCTAGAAATGTTGACCGACATCCAACGACACGTGGCGTCGTGTCCCACCTGCCAGGTCATGAAATCATCACGGAAGCGGCCGGCAGGACAGTTGCAGCCGATTCCACCCCCAGAGCGTGCTTGGCAGCAGGTGACGATGGATTTCGTCATGGGATTACCGGCCGGGGCGAGTGGGAACGACGCGATCCTGGTCGTCGTCGATCGACTGACGAAAATGGCACATTTCGCAGCTTGCAAGAAATCAATCACAGCCGAAGAAACAGCCCGCCTCTTCATCGCCACCGTTGTTCGCCTCCACGGGATACCATCGGCAATTATCAGCGACCGCGACACGAAATTCACCAGCAACTTCTGGCGGAACCTGTGGCAGCAGTTTGGCACGCGACTACAGTTCAGTTCTTCGTACCACCCCGAAACGGACGGACAGACAGAACGGACAAACCAGACCATGGAGCAGCTCATCCGGGCCACGTGCGACGACCCGAACACGTGGGAACAGCAAATGCCACTCATTGAATTCGCGTACAACAATTCGCCCTCCGCCACGACCCAACAGTCACCGTTTTACCTGAACTACGGACAGGACCCAACAGTACCCATGACCCCAAATCCCGACAATCCAGTCCCACGCGCACAACAGTTCGCCGAGATTTTGCAAGCAGCACGGACCAGGGCAGCAGACGCAATTAAAAAAGCCAACATCATCGCTAAGCGCAACGCCGATCGCCACCGCCGACCTGTCACTTACCAGCCAGACGACCTAGTACTACTCGATACTCAGAACCTCCGCTTGCCCATCACTCCAAAACTTCGCCCACGATATTGTGGGC